TTACAATGGCACTAAGACAACTAAATTGCAGACATATGAAGCATTTTTACTGGAGTTTAGCTTTGTCCGGGTTGTTAAGGAGGTCGGCAATATGTCTTTTCTGATAATCTGCTTTGCACTTGAAAGCTCTCTATGTCCGCAGACCGTGGTAATGCATTGACTGTCTGGGTTGTGATGACAAGAGCTCTTGGGACATGGGTTCCAACAGATTGTGGCTTACAACTGAAATAACACGTAGTTGTTTGGAGTACACAATGTTTATCAAAATAAATATTCAATGCAAATTTCTAATTTTATTTTTGTCTCTTGTCTCTTTTGTGTCTCTCTGTACGTTGAAATGGTGTTTGCTGGATGCACACACAGGACTTAGTACAGCATCTGGGAAACACACAACTTCCTGCTTATTGCAAAAGGCAAAATCCAAGAGCCCAAACCCCAACTGTGTGCACTTGCTGGCCTGTCTGCAGAAACCACAGCACATGGCAGGCCTTCCCAGTCACACTTGCAGGATCTGAGACAGGGAGAGGGGAACGGAAGGAGATGGGAGCAGGAAAGGGGATACTGCAGTGGCCAGACATGGGAAAGGGCTGTGTTTGGGGCAGGTGGGGGCTATAGTATATTAAAAAATATATATATATTATATATATTAAAATACATATTGTTGCCCTATTCACAAAAGAAAAAATAAATAGGGTGAAAATGGAATAAAAATATATATGGAAATAATAGATAAAACATGTACACATTTTTTGTAGCGGGCAGCTATTAAAGCTTTTGAGAATCTCACTGTTGAGTCAAGTGTGACTTTGTTTATTTTCCACCCCGGGATGGTGCCAGCTGGGCAGGCTCCATTATGAAACTTTCTGGAGGCTCCAAAACTCAAATGGGATTTTTTGGTGGCAGAATCAGCGTTTCCAACATCCAAGGATCTGTTTTTTAATCAGGTGTCAAAATAGTAGTTAGCACATTAGAGGAGATAACCCATCTAGCACCTTCAAGCCAGAAAACCAAAAATGCAGCCTGTGTATTTCTGTATAAAGGGGGGGGTGGTGTGTGTGTGTATATGTATGTGTGTGTATATGTACGAGTGTGTATGGGAACGGGAGGTACATGTGCGGACACTTATGTCTGTATTTGTGCATATATGTGTGTGTCTATATAATGGGAAGTGTATTTGTGTAAGGGATGTATTTGTGTGTATGTGTGTATTTGTGTGTGGGGCAATGTGTGTGTATTTATGTGTGTGTCTGTGTATATATATTTATGTATACAAAGGGAGTGTGTGTGTGTGTGTGTGTGTGTGTGTATTTCTGTGTGGACCTCTATGTATATACAGCCATTAGAACTAGTTTAACAGCAACCTATACATAAGCATATACAATTCATTACATTACATTAGTCCTAAAATTACTGTGTAATTTTTAGTTATATATGTATATTTAAGTAGAGACCAGATACTTTCCAGCCATTAATATATAAAATACAATGTACATTAAATGTATTAGCTTCTGTACGCCAATATGCTTAATTTGTTAATAAAGATTAAAAGAATAAATTATAGCATTTTAATATGTATCATTTAGACAATTAAAAAGATGACATAAATCATTAAATTGGTAACACAACACAACGTCATATACAATATATAACAGAATGCAACATAACCTAATAGAACATAACGTAACATAATGTAACACTACGTAACGTGACGTTTCCGCAGCCGCTACGGGCTTAGCCAGCGCCCCGTTGCCTGTCCGTGCGCGCCCTCTAGCGGTGATATTTGGTGGTGTGTTTTGGGTTGATTTCTTTTCGCTGCATCACAGCCCGAGAAGAGCCAGAGGGTTGTGCTCTTCTCCTGCCAGCACGGCGGTCACAGGCCCAGCTGAGTGTCACACTCGTGCTTAGTCTCTGCCGAGCAGCCACTGAGGGGTCACAGCATCTGCTCAAAACTATAAGGGGCAGGGATGCTCCCTCCACTTCCAGAGCTTCGATTCTCCCAAATCTGCTGGACAGTAAGGCACAGTTTATGTGGTTCCCTAGGAGAGGTTGTTTTTATGACACCCTTGCAGAGTTTTGCACCACCTCCTCCAGCAGAAGCTGAAGCTGCTGTGATGTGTCCAGGCTCTTGCAGCCCCCAAAGGGCCATTCCAGCAGCCAGGTTGGAGGCTGTTGTGTTACCCCACCTTCTTTCTGACCAAAGGATGGGGGAGGGAGGTGTAGAAACCACTACTGCAGCTACACCCTTCCTTCCTCTTATGTGTTGTCTTCACAAAACACACCCCTACAGTGATCCCTTAGCCAAGGAGCTGAATCCAGCATGTACGCTCACTGCACAGCCTTAGAAGCAGAAGCTGAGGGAGAGCTCCATCACTTTGGAAATAGAATAATTTGCAGTTTATGAGTTTGAGCCTCGGCTGGAGTCCGTATTTCAGCAGTCAGGACACAGTAAGGGGTCCGTGATGAGGAAACAGTGATGAGACTCAATGGGAAATCATTCTGGGGAAAAGCCCCTTACAAACAAGTATTTCTGCTCCTTTGGCAGTGGTGTAATGTGAGATCATGATGAAATTCCCAGCACAACAGTAACCTCATCTCCTCTCCTATAGTCTTAGTGCTGAGTGAGTACTCCTAGGTAATGTTTCTTAAAGCACAGGTGCCTCACCTAAACCCCACAGGTCTGTCACTTGATAGTAACACCACAGGAAATTAATGCAGCTGGTTTGACTTTAATTTCTGCTTTCCTGCAGTATCCATCTCCAGTATCCAGCTGGTACTGCTCTGTCATTCGGCTATCTCTTGAGAATGGCCTTCGCTGTTACACAGCTATAGTTGATTTTCTCATCCCAGGAAGTGAGACTGTCCTGGCTTATCACTACTGACAGGAATAATAATGTGGCTGAAATATATTTCAGGCCTTATGCGGTCTATTTGAAGATTGAGCAATATGGCTTAAATGGTGCTGCTGTCTAGGAACAAGGGTTGGGAAGGGTAATATAGAGAATGGTCTTTCCCTGGTTAGGTTACACAGCTCTTGAGATCACAACAAAAAACTGTCTCCCACATTAAATGAAAGAAAGTTAGTTTTTCAAAATCTTCTACTCAACTCAATGCCAAAACTCTTACTTACTTACATGCTTCTGCTTCCATTAAGCTCCCTGGCAAGTCCATTCTGTTATAACTGCAATTAGCTAAAGTCCACACAGTTATTAGCTTTTTTATGGCACCAGAAAGACAACAAGGGCTGAGAAGTCACAGAGTATGGCTGTGGATACAACTGGCATGATGAATAATAAAATAGTAATACAAAAATCTTGTGTGGTTCAATTTGAAGTATGCACTATTTTGGATTGGATTTCAGTTTAGGTGAGGGGATGAAAACAGATTTATGTTTTACAAAAGAAGTTGAATGAAATAAAACTGTACTGAGGACACGTTAGTTAAAAAAACCAAAACCAAACATGCAGGATGTTTTGTAGCCATGGATCTGGGAAATGATAAGCAATGCTCACATGAATATACATATTAAACCATTATGTTATTTAGTTGACTCAGCAAGTGAGTGCTGTATTTTTTTTTCAAGACATCCTTGCAATACAATTGTTCATGCATAACTCAGTGTTTCTCATTACAAAGAAGGCTCTATGTAAGTTACACCAAGATCCAGGTTACTTCATGGTGCTGTTCAGTGAACAGCTGCTTCTCATTACTAGCGAACAGCCTTGCACCTTGCAAGCAAAGGCTGAGCCCTTGCTATTCACCCATTTCAAAAGCTCTTGGAGGCCACTGGACATATAACACCACCATCAGTGACAGCACCTGAACCATTTAAATATTAACAAGTCAATGAGTGCTCAATGCTCTGGTCTGTGGGCTCCACAGAACTAGTGAGCATGTCACCAGCTTAGTAAACCAGGCTATTTTCAGACACTGCTGGCAGTCACCTTTAAAAGCAGTGGATATTATAGGCAGGAAAGATGGGCCCACAGTTTCATTTGGCATGATAATTCTGGGATAAGAAAGAAGAAACTTTCTGCTTCTGAGAAGTAAGTGTCAAAAACTAACACAGTCTGTCCCCATTTTATTCAATGTTCAGGCCAAGGACGTTGCCAATAGGATTATTATTACAGCCTCAGCAGGCACCAAGACACCTGAACGCTAGAAACTCTAACACAGGTCACCTCTGTGCTGCTGCTTCAGAGCCAGGACATGAGGAAGCAGCCAAACAGGATGAATTACAGTCTTCGTAAGATGGGAATACTCTGCCATCGCATAGTGAGTGGTGCAAGAGATCAGTGGGTGAGCAGGGGCCTGTAGAACAAGGACGATCCTCTTTCTAACATGCTGCATAGCAAGACTGTGCTGATGGACCATGTATTTATTTGCTGGCCTTTGCCAGTAACACTGGGAAGAGGTTGAAGCTCCTTTAATTGTCCCGTATCTCCCTCTCAAAGCACAAATGTCTGTGTAATAAATAGAAAAAAAATACAGACTCATTTTTTTTTTAGAAATTATTTATTGCAATGATCACTGTTAATTTAAATGATAGGTAATGGATCTGTTGGTTTTGCTGTTACACAAATCCGTTGATACAATGCCACTGATTAATTGATAACTAAACACAGCTGGCACTGGAAACAAGAGTGAAAATACCGGTCTATTAAGTAGCATCACACAGGAAAGAAACAAAGCATTTATCAGCCAGCTTTGGATAGAGGCTGGTGTGCTGCATAATGCTTGATTGTATGTCAGCTTTAAATACCAATCGAAAGCTACACTGCGCAGAGCTCTTTGGCTGGAGATCAATGGTGTGTCCAGCCCCCTTCACACTGCGTGACCTCTCTACTGGAGGAGGAACCCCACTACCATCAGAGAACAAACACAAGTGGAATGTTTTTCTGTCATGAATCCAACCAGCTCTAACCTTCCCGGCAGTTTGGTATTGCCTGGCTTCAGTGGGGCTTGTCCCTGTTAAAAATGGCACAGTATGACTGATGGGACACAGTGATATGCAAAAATAGTTTATTTATAAAAAGAAATAGCGAATAAAAGTGTATCACCAGACATAGTAGGCTGGCAATCTTAAGAACGAGAAACATGAGAGCAGCAATGAAACAGGCAGCTGTAAAACCAGGAGCATCGCACTATACAGGCACAGGCTCTTTGAATTTCTATAAACCTCCAATGCAATTAAGAAAAAACAACTCTGGAAAAGGCAATCACTGTTACTCCTTGCACAGAAAAGGAAATGAGCCAGAGATAAAGACTGGAAATAATTTCTAAGCCTCAGTATAAGCCCCACAAGAACAGTGGCCAAAACTCAGACAAAAGTTCCCTATCTTAAAATGTTATTTTAATGTATGATTTCCTTTTCATGACACATTGAAAGAGTTCAGAAGCCGTGACAGGATCATAGAGTCTTTCTGAAGTCAAGGCAGACCCAACTGTTCAGAGAATAGAAATGCTTTAACCACTCACATAAAGGTCAGAAATCTTGTAGTGTGTGTGTCCTAATAAAGTTTAAAAACTGGGTAATAATTGGTAATAACTGCAGCAACAAAGCTGAAGACAAACTAAAAGAAGCCACAAAACGGTACCCACAAACTGACCTGCTAGCAAGGGATGCATACCTAGCAAGACAGTGCAGCAAATAGAGGTAAGACTGGTAACAGGTGTGGTATTACAGGGAATTTGATTGCACCTTCAAAGGTAAATCTTAGCAAATAAGCACAGGTAAATCTTAGCGCACATACAAAGCAATGATGGCACTTGCAATTCTCATTCTTTTAAATTATGATGAATACTGTTTACATTGCCTAATTAGGGAGATTTAGTAGTTAGTGAGAATGTTTAGTTATAAATTCAACTGCCAACATAGAATCACAGAAACATTCATTCTTTTACTGTACATGGTGCGCCTCTTGGATCTTTTGGCCCCCAGCCCCCACTTTAAATGCCCAATTTCCTACTTATTTGGTCAATAAAATTAAGCTCTCGAGAACAGGGGATGCACTTGTATTCTTTGAGGTAGGAATTTAAATTATTTTGATAAAGCACGCGCTATACATCTATCTTAAAAAAGCCAAACAACAACAACAAAATAACCCAACAAAATAAAACCCACAACATCTTCGTTCCAGTATTACATAAATAATTTGATTGTCCATTGGAAATTCCTCACAAAGTGCAAACACATCTTGTGTAGTACCATTGCCAAACTGCTTTTTTCTGAGGACTGATGGGTTAAAAATAGAACAGTAACTTAGAAGACTTAAGTTATGGCACTAGAACAGAGAAACCACTGAGCTGAGTGGAGAAAGACAGCAGGCACTTACTCAGCTGTCATGAAAGCAGATCATTTCCCATATACCTCTGTTTAATACTGAAAAAAAAAGAAATAGGGAAAGCTATAACCACCACCCTCCCCAGTGAAATTAGCTTTAAAGGCAATATCTGAACATATATCCGTATGTATAGCCAAAAATCTGTTACTGGAAGTCTGATGAGATGCTTAACGCAGAATTCAACATCTGCTGGGGCACCTACAAAACATTAATAAATGACCTTAAGTAACTTTATGAAGATATTTATTTTTATACATACATATATAAAAGTGATATTATGTTCAGGTCTCTCAAATCGTTACCAGCTAACATCTGCTAATGTAACACTGTATGAGGACAAGTCCTAGGGGCTCAAAGGCCTATCGTTATGAACTGCAATACCAGAGAAAGACTGGCTGGGTGAAGTTCCTGCCAGGTTCACATTATACTTAATAGTTAAATATGCTATTTGTTGAGTGTAAAGCATGAAAAAGGGAGAAAAATGGAAGACAAAAAAAAAGCAGCTACTTGAAAGCAGCACTTTGTGTTTTGTATCAAAAAGCAACTCTCAAGTCACTCGTTAAAAAAATAATGAAAAATACCCCCAAAACCAAAACACACTTTAAAATTTAAACTGAACTACATGCACAAAACACAGCTGCATTTGGGTTAGGCAACTTAACAATTCAGAACAGCCAACCAAAAAACCCAGTCAATTGGCTGGCTGAATTTCAACAAAATTACCTCCCTCCTTTTAACCATGAAGGGTAAGGGCTCCAACCTACTGTAAATGTCGATTTACGAACGACTAAAACAAGTATCTATTCTCAAAAGCTGGCCTTATAGCTACCTAGTGTAGTAATTTTTTTCTCCTCCTTGGCTGAGCTGCCTTTGCAGGTTGGTTTACACTGCTTCATTGTTTAGCTCAGGAAGAACTCACTTTGACTAAAAAAATCAGGTTTATGTTTCCTAAGATTAGGCAAATTACAGAAACTTAATTTCCATGTTTCTGATCTGAACTGTCATCTCCATACCATAGATATAAGTTGTAAAAAGAAAACCACTCATTAATATTTTGTATTTATTGTTTCATCTGACCTTTGCTCATCTCTAAAGGTGAGAAGCAACATTCCGTAAAAAAAGGCAGGTGCAAACCAAGAACACTTGACAAAATGATAAACGAGTAATGAACAAGAAATGGACTGCACATCTTGATGCAATGCAATACCCAAACATCTACTGAGACTCTTCTCAACTCCGTTACATGTTTGGATTAATAGTACAATTTAAAAGTAATACAGTTAATCCTGAAGAAATACATGATTTCATTTTCTATTCAAACAGGCACAGACCTGTTTAACGAAGTGTGGCCAGAAAGATTTCTTTAATCCTAAATTCATACAAATATAATTAAAATTAAATAAACCCAATCACCTGGAACCTTCAGCAACATCATTTAGACCTTATGTACAGAAACCAAAGATGAATTTGTGTCTCTCCCGAATACCTAACTCAATGTATTAATTATTTAAAAGGCTTTACTACTCAGTGACACAGTAAGTTTAGTCACATCTTTTATTTTAGGACAAGTACTCAACAGATCAGTTTCCCACTTTGATACTGAAGTATTCCATGAGATTAACCATTATGGTTCAATTAGGACCTTTTATCCAAAACATTTGGATTTTAGCACCTTAAAGAGAGAGTCAAAGTAACATCTTAGTAGTACTGAATGAAGATAGACAATACTGTGCTCATCCTCTGGAAAATGATGTGGACCACACATACAAGGTGCATTTAGTCCCTAATAGGCAGTAAGGCAGAAGGGCAACAATTCTAAGTAATGAATTTGACAGAATACAATCTGAATAATAATAAAACATTCCAAATTATACAAAGTATGTCAAGGAGAAATTGTATTTGCTCCCATACATCAAACCTCAGAGTATTTAAATCAATGTGTGTTTTTTTCACAATCAACCACGTCAGTCAGTAATCTGTACCCAAACAAAAAATAATAATCTGGTTATTAAACATCAGGAAGGGATATGTCTAACTCAAAGTTGAGCCCTGCACAGCACCTAGTGCTTTTTCAAAGATTTAAGCAAACCCTTAAATGAGTAAGCCAAATTAATTTCCGAGTTAAAATCTACTGTCTAGATAATAGGGCATACATAACACCTACTTCCAGAGGCACAGTTCTTTGGCAGCAGCAGCAGCAACCTGAATGCCATGAATCTGACCTTCCTTTTGCCCTGACACTGCTCATGAGGGTGATGTAATTTCATTAACAACCTAGCATCACTATGAACGGTACAGAATCTTTCTGCACTGATTTGGAATGAATTAGCCAAGTTCTCTGCTTAGCTTCTATCCTGCTTCTAAGAATTTCCATGGATTTCTTGGGACAAACAGAAGAGGTCTTGTTTATTTTAAAGAAGCAGGCAGCCTAACCAGACATGTCCTAAACCCTGTAATTTCATGCATCTTTGGCCAGTGTACCACTATTCTTTGTACTTTTATGCAGTTTTGCAACTGACTCTAGCAAACTGACTTCCGAGAGAATGTATTAGTACTGCATTCTGCTGTCCATCAGCAGTTACAAATCAATGACCAACTTGCACAGCCAAGATGTATGTGGATACTAAAGATGAGTATCAGTGTATTCTGAGACTGTTTCTTCTTTTCCACCTAATTTAAGTTTGCAGTGTTAGACACACAGATTTGTATGTTAATTTTAACACAAAAGCATACAAAATTACAAACTAAAGTATTAAACATTACCTATCCTGCAACTAAACAAATGGCCAACATTAGTAAGTAAACTGGTGAATTCCAACATAAAAGTCTTTTAACCTCAGTAATCTCTGCTTCCTTTCTTCCCCCCCCCCCAGTAAACCCAGGAATTGCATGGAAATTTAGTTTCTGTTCAAGGAACAGTATTCAGTCTGGTTAACACATCCATCATAGATCCTCTCTCTGGTTGGTTGCTCGGTTGTCCTCTTTGATGCTGTTAGATTTCTTGTCTGCGTCTTTTTTCTTCTTTGCTTTTTCAGGTTTTGTTTTGTTTTTCATTTTCTCATTTTCTTCTCCTCCTTTGCCAGGATAAACCTGACCTTCCAGAGTAACATCCGCACACCTTTCTTGACTTATCAGGAAGTCTTTGATCTCCCAGGCATACCCACCATCACGCAGCATAAAGATGGCACGATTTGAGCCAACAATGAACCTGGAGGAAAGATAATTTCTGTTAGCTCTGTGCTTTTCAAGCAGTACAACATCTTGCTTAATTCAGAGCACCTCCGTGACTGAGGCGTATATGCAAGAGCAAGAATCGTAGAATCATAGAAAGGCTAGAGTTGGAACAACCTTAAGGTCATCTAGTTCCAACCCCCCTGCCATGGGAAGCGATGCCTTATGCTTGAACATGTTGCCTAAGGTTCTGTCCATCCTGGCCTTGAACAATCCCAGAGATGGAGCTGATCTTGTTGCCTGGGGAGGAGGACATTGAACAATTTTCTAGCATACGTAAGAATAACATGTATTAAGTTTGCAAATAACCAAGGAGGAGTGAGAATACAAAGACAACTTAGGAATTAATTTAGCACTATGTAAAACCCACTAATGGGCATTATATTTGCTTTATACACTTACTATAACCCTTCCCAGCCTCAGTACAAGAGACACAATCTTCCTGTGTTTCAAAGTGATCCTCTCTCTTTCAGAAACACCACATTTTTTAGCAAGGGGAACAAAAAGCCTTCTGTGGTGACAAGTCTTCCAAGGGTGGCATTTTCCATCAAGCACATAAAGGCAAACTACTGCAACTAAAACTGATAAATAGCTGAAACATAATGAGATAAAAACAAATGAGGCTATGCATACATCATTTGTAAGTGTTAAAAAGATTTGTGCACCATGCCAGAATTTTTATAGCATGACTTACAACAAATTGGCATAGAAACCGATACAGAAATAGTGACAAGTGATTGAGGTGGGGAAGGGCACAGCATGAACAGTTGAAAAGATTCTCAGGAGGAAAGAAACAAGGCTTCTGTAAAAAGACAAACTTCACCCTTGCGTATAACAGCTTACCTTTGCACATCATAGTTTGCATTGAAGAGACTGCCCTGCCACAAGCTAGTGATTTCTTCTGTCTCTTTTTCTGTGGGATTTCCTGACACTGTGACAAACATCATCAAAGTCTTCCCCTTCTTCGTCAGCTTCAGGATACTTTCAGGCTTGCCTGGATCAATTTTTGAGAAATCTATTGGTGCTGGAGGCCTCTTGTGTTCAGGAAGATCTCCTTCTTCAATGTCATCATCTTTCTGTTTTGAAAAGGAAAAGGAGGCATTAAACTCAACTGTTCCACAAAGCTGTTCTGTTTTCCAATTTCCCACTTTGACAAAGTATTTTTTAGCTTGATAATGGAGATTCTCAAACCAAAACAAATAGTGAGTTTTGTTTCAGGATACTTCATTGTCGTGGTTTAAACCCAGTCAGGTAACTCGTTCACTCACTTCCCCCCACTTCTTTCCCTGCCCCTGCTCCCGGAGGGACGGAGAGGAGAATCAAAAAGAATGCAACTCCCACGGGTTGAGATAAGAACAGTTTAGTAACTAAGGTATAACACAAATCACTACTGCTACCACCAATGATAATAATGATAAAGGAAATAACAAGGGAAGAGAATACAACACCTCGTCACCAGCCGACCAATAACTCGACCCCCAGGCCTGACCAAGCACCGACCGATACCTCCTCCAACCCTGCAGTCTCCCAGCCCTTCCGGGTAACTCCCAGTTACATCCTGGGCATGACGTGCTGTGGTATGGAATACCTCTTTGGTCAGTTTGGGTCAGGTGTCCTGTCTCTGCTTCCTCCTGTCTTGCCCTCCTCCCTGGCAGAGCATGAGGCTCACAAAGTCCTTGGCCAAACCAAAACATCTCTATCAGCTCTGTTCCCGAGCCGAAAGTGAAAAAAAACACTGCACTGCACCAGCTACCAAGGAGGAGAAACATGACTGCTACTGCTGAACCCAGGACATTCATCAAGAGTATTCTTCCATTTATAACCCTCCCCTCAACACATTTTCATACTCACAGCTAGACACTCCTTTTACCATATACTGAGAAATAGTTCAGCCTCAAGGTTAATTCAGTACAATTCCACGCAGGTACTTCATAAAATAACACTTTTTTTTTTTTCACAGTTTCACATAAATGTATTAAGCATACATGATGAACTGAGAAAGTTGCACTAAAAAGCCTCAGACACACATAGAAAAGTGTTCACCTGCACATTGCTTTCAGAGGTCAAAACTCACCTCTAGGACTCATTTGATCACTTGAGAATTCAATTTTCCTGACTTTGCCTCTTT